ACGTCGACGACGACGCCGCCGCCGCCGCCGCCGCCGAGCTCGCCGCGCAACAGGGGCGCACGAAGCGCTACCTGGCTGCGCAAAAGGCGCGCGCCCGTCGAGCCGTCCTGCGCGCCGTCCGAACGGCCATCAACGGGCGCGATGCCGATGGCCTGGGCGGCGGTCGCAAGCTCGGCGTCAACGACGACGACGTCGACGGCATCGCCGACGGCTACATCTCGGCGACGTTTGCTGACGGCGCCGTGTCGTCGGCGGCAACGACGGTGCCGAGCGCCGTGGACCGGACGCTGCTCCGGCTCGACTTTAGCTCGCTCATCGCCTACCTCCCGCCCGACTTTTTCGGGCAGGACTACGAGATCCGCGAGTATCCCGTCGAGCGCGAGGTCGAGGGCGGGCGGCGGAGTCGGATCGTGGGCCAGATCCGCCGGCGGATGGAGGTGGCGCGCAGAGACATGGTCGTCTTTTGAGCCGCCGCTCCGTCTCCCCTCTCTCTCTGTCTCTCTCTCTCCTGCCCTGACGGACGGTTGGCCTCGCCCGGCCTCGTTCCTGCATTTTGCGCCAGCATCTCTTTCACCGGCCTCCTCTCTTGCACGACATGGACTCGGAACTTGCCTCCTGGGCGGTGTTCCATCTCGCCCTGCCCTCGCCCCTCGGCGCTTCATGACCTGCCGCGCTCGACACGACACGATCCCAACGTTTCCTTGATGATACCCGCTGTCTCGTCGCGCTCGGGGCCTAATCTGTCCCCGGCAGGCGGGCAGCGTTCACGATATTCTGCTCTCTGATCCAACTCGGCTGCTGCCATTAGAAACGATAGAGCGCATGCTGCCGAAACCATCGATGGCGATCACGATCAGATTGACGAAAAATGGCGATCGACGGCGCGCCTGCGAGCGATATGGCCTGGCCTGGCGTGGGCCCGTCCGGGGGCCAGCTAGGCCTCGGTGGGTGGCTGAGTGGCGGCGGCGGGCGCCGGCGTCGTCTCCTCAAATAGGTCGGCGCCGTCGTCTGCCTCTGGCTCGAGGTACTCGACGCCCTCGCGCACCTGCTTCTGCGCCTCGATGAGCGCCAACCGCCGTTCGTTGAGGACGAGCTTGATGCGGGCCATCGACTTGCGAACCTGCGGCAAGGGGGGGAGAAGGAGGGTGGTACGACCACGGGGCATGTCCAGCTTTCAGAGTGACGTCCAAGGCGCAGCGCCGCCAAGGGCCCGACTTCGTTGGGAGGCCGACCGGGGAGAGACGGTACGGGGGCCAACTCACCCTGTGATTTCTCCTGCTGAGGTTCTCGTTCCACATTTTTGCGGCCTGCCTGCCTCCGATCCTTCCGAGTTCCTCCCAGCTGGTGGCGAGGCGGTTCCGCTCCTGGAGGAGGACGTACCAGAGGGTGTGTAGGTCCTTTGAGCTCTTTGTGCGCAGCTCGGCGGCGAGCCAGGCGCGGCCGCTTCCGTTTTTTCCGAGGTCGGACTTGTGGACGGCGTGCGGGAGGCGGATCGAGAAGCCGGGCTGGTTGGTCGGGCTGCTCTCTGCCGTCTGCACCACGGCCGTCGTGGGCGGGTGCGCCAGGTCCGAGGGAAAGAGGGAGGCGTGCGTGTGGAAAAACTGGAGCAGCGGGTGCGCCGGGTAGCTGCGCAGCTGGTCCACCTGGTCCGTCGGTACGCGCGTCCGCGACTGCGAGGCGGGCTTGGTGGGTACCGGTACGGGCGCCTGGAGCGCGACGCTCGACGTGCTCAGCAGCCGAGACGGTCCCGCCACCCCGCGGCTCTTCAGGCGAGTCAGGGCCGATCGAAGCGTCATCATCGTCGGCGAGTCAGAGGGAAAGGAGTGCGATAATCGGAAGGTGATGCGGCGACAGAGGCGGTGCTGGCGCTGGTGGCGGCGGCAGTAATGGTGGCGATGGCGATGGCGATGGCTGTGATGATGGTGGTGGTGATGGCGGTGGTGATGGCGCAGGTGGTGTGGACGGCTGTGGCCGGGCAACCGGAAGGTCGACAAGGCGGGCCTGTCAGTTTTCCTGCTCCCGACTTGGCGGCCAGTAACTAGTGTCCAAGGGCCTGGCCCAGCCTGGCCCAGCCTCGCCTGCGGGATTTTCTCGAGCTGAGGTACGCCCTCTCGCGCGAATGGCATTCAGGTCGGGCGGGCGAAAATTGAGCTCAGGCGGCGGCAGCAGCGCTCTGGCCGGCCTGCATCCTTCCAACCAGGCAGGGCAGGCCAGGCTACCGCACAGGCGCCCTCCATCTCCTGACTCGAAGAACCCTGGGCCTGCTCAGCTTTCGCATTCCAACACCTCGCCCACCAAAGCCAGCCAGCCGCCGCCGCCGCCGACGACGACAACACCGACGCAGGATCGAGCTTTGCACCGCTCGCCACCACAACGCCACCTCGACCGCTCGCCCGCAGCAGCATCCAGCCTCGAGGGGTGTAGTCGCTGCACGCACGCACGCTCGCACTTCACACCGCACCGCACCACACCGCACCGCACCACAGACC